GGCCAGGGTGCAAGGGGATTCCTCCACAAAGCTTGCACACCCTCCACACATTTTACCAAAAACTGATCGAGTGTGGATATGCGTATTCATTGGGGTACCTAACCCAAACATACGTATGCATGAGTAGGGCTGGGTTAGTTAGAAAGGCAGATGCCAGCAGTTTATGTCATCTTTGCACCTGCACATTGCCTCCTGGTGGTCGTCTCCAGGGGACTTTGGGAGGAAGGCTCAGAGTCTTTCTCCCTTGTTTTTTTTTTCTCTGGAGCATGCACAGATTCTCTTGGCCAATTTCTTGAATAACAAGAGTGTTTATCAGACAGTTTACTTTCTGTCTTATCGGAGAGAACCAATAGAACTTCTACCATTCGTATATGGCTATCGTTACTCATTAGCAAAATTCCACCTAGTTAGAGCCAGCTGTTACTCAAGGCCAACAGTATAATCATTTGTTGAAAATTGTAATCCTTGGTAGATTTTCAGTGAACTGCTTTGTTTGGATGACTACTAGTCATGACTACTACTAGAACCGACCCGAGGGATATTCCATACCATATGACGTCTGCTCAGTATAAAGCTGGGAGAAATGAGGAAGGGGGGGGTGGGGGGGGTGTCACCCTTGAAGTAGAGAATAAATCTGTTTGCTTTTGCTTCTGCACGCGGACATTTGCTTCGCTTTGCTTATGTTAAAACTGCTTTTGTTTCACCCACAAGGGTTAGTTTAACTTCTTTCCCTGTTACTGATTTTATTATCCACTGAAAAGAAATTGTGTTTGATTTTAATATAAGTATAGAATTAAGGGATATTTTAGTAAAAATAATTTTACATTTATTGTATTTTGAATCTAGCAACCGACCACTACTCTAAAATCCCCTGTACAGCCCCGTACCAAGGCTGAAGGGACGGGTCATAATTGTTTAGTAGGAACGGTTAGAACCTAGGTAACAAAACACGAGGTGATTTGTAAACTGATTTAGAACACATACATAGGACTAGAAGGATGCAAGTAGTTGTCACGGTGCAGGATTAATGGGAACTGAGGGCAGTAACCGTAACAGCTTGCAGGTACCTGCCAAGAAAACCGTGTCCTTCAGCAAAAGGTAATTCCGGCAGGGGGAGACCGCGACCCCCGACTCACGGACCACCTACTCCCATTACACCCCAGAGCCATTTCTAGACATTTCTAACCTCTGCTGCGCAGAATCGGAAGTAGGAGGAGAATATGTTAATGATTTCTTAGAAGTTGTATGCTTATGTATGAAGACTTAATGAATATGTATGAGTGGGTTCTATATAAGATGTATGATTCTGGTGCCTGGCACGTGTTGTTGGTGAGAGCACTCCCCTACACGTCCGGCCGTCAATAAAGAAGTGTCTGCTTATCTGCATCACATTGGTGTCCATAAGTTATTTTTATCCTGGATTTTGGTGACATCCCCTCTTTACCCTATTGAGAAAACAAGGGGAAAGGTGGGGGGGGGAAGTGATAGATGGACTTGGTGGATACCTGGCATTTAGACAGAGTCAAACCATCACAGCTGCTCAGGTGTTCTTTACCCATGAAGCGAAACAAACTTAGAAAGAGAGTTTTTGAACTCCCGGTTATCTTTGCAAATGTCACTTCTTTTTGCCAAGGGAATCCCACTGAGGACAGAGGATTCTGCCCCACGCTGTCCCCCTGCCCCCCAGGAGCTCACCTTCAGCCCCAGCCCGGTGCCCACGGCCACGTCCCCTGGCGCCACCACTGTCCCCAGTGTCCAGCCCATGGCCAAACTGGTGTTGGTGGCACCTGTGGGTGGGGTTGGGGTGGGACCAGCTCCGTTAAAACCAGCAGCTGCCAGTTCCCTTCCCCTCTCTCTCCAGCTCCCACAGACCCCCCCAGTGCCAGTGCCCCCCCTGCTGTGCCCCTTCACTTCACCCTGCTCTGGCTTCCCCTTCCCCTCTGGCTCCCTGTACTGGGTCTGGCTGAACTGGAATTGGTTTTCCCCTACAGCAGACCTCACGGTGCTGTGTTTTATGTCGGGAGCTGGCAGGGTGTTGGCATCACCCTGGTGTTGTGGCTACTGCTGAGCAGTGCTTACACAGCACCAAGGCTCTTTCTGATATTTCCCCCAGTGGGACGGGGTGGGCAAGATCGTGGGAGGGGACACAGCCAGGACAGCTGACCCAAACCGACCAAAGGGATATTCCATACCATATGACGTTTGCTCAGTATAAAGCTGGGAGAAAGGAGGAAGGGGGTGGGGTCACCCTTGGCCCTCCGAGGCGACCACTACGCGTATGGGAGCCCCGCTTCCTGAGAAGGCCGGACATGGCCTGTCCGTGGGAAGTAGAGACTAAATCTTTTTGCTTTTGCTTCCGCGTGCGGACTTTTGCTTTGCCTTGCTTATATTAAAACTGCTTTTGTTTCACCCACAAGGGTTAGTTTATCTTCTTTTCCGTCTTTACCCTATTGAGAAAACAAGGGGAAAAGGGGGGGTGTGGGGGGAGAAGTGATAGAGCAACTTGGTGGATACCTCGCATTTAGCCAGAGTAAAACCATCACACTCCCCCTTCGCCGCCAGCTCCAGCCCGCGGGTCTGCTCCTGCCTCGCCCTC